TGCATTAATACAGTTGCTTAGCATCGGGAAATGCTACTGCCCTAAGAATGTTGAACTTCGAGGGCGTCCAAGGCCAGCCTGGTTCACGCTAGGTATCCACCAACCTAACAGACCAGTCTTAGATACACCTTGGATTAAACAAAAGCTGATTGTCAAGGTACTAAGTTCTTCGAGTGGGAACCAGAAGAATAAAGGGGTGGAAGTATGACAGGTCAATCAGGAAAAGGATCAAAAAGTCACTAACAAAAACATAAATATCAAGTAACATGTTAGATATTCTGCTCAGCCGCCCATGCGACGAAACAGTCGAAGCGTTATTAAGAGGATAGGCCATAATTACGAACGAGCCAAAATTAAACCGATAAACCTTGGCTTGAAAACAAAAACCTGACCACAGAAATAAACAAATAAGAAAAAAAAATATGATAAGATAAACGGAAAACTATTTGACGCCTCAATTCCATGAAAATCTGAGAAGTATAATACCGAAAATAAACTAGCGACGGAAGAAACAACACAGCAAGAAATTTAAGTACAATCAAAAAATGAAAGATCAAATTTTCGCAACCCTTTTCGAAAGTTCTGCTGTTTTTTGCCAATTCCGGTGGCATACGTCTAAACCATCTAGCACAGCGATAAAATAAACAGTTAAAGAGACCAGCTAATTGAGTTTTCCCAGTCTAGGGAGTGTAGTTAGATTTTCCTTGCCTGCAATTAATTGTCTGAAGACCCAAAAGCTACTGGCTCTCAAATCAATTTCTCCTCGAAGTATTCGAAAACAAAATAGAAGATCAGCCTTGATCCTCCTCAAAAGTCAACTTACTCAAAAGTCCTCAAACCAATTTTCTGAGTCGTTCTTCATAATTTGGAAAAGCTTTGCCGCATGTGTTCCGGGTTACTCGAGAGATGATCATTCTTGTAAAAACACTTTGAACTTTCTCGACCTTCAAAATCGACTTTTTGGATGTCGGGCTCCAAACTTGAGAGTAGTACTCAAGATGAGGAGGCACGTATGCTTTGTACAGTCTTGTCAACACGGTTGGTCGCAGGAATGGATATTCCGAAAGATTGCGAAAAGGGTCTTTTTTTACAATATGGTCAATATGTTTATCAAAAGTCAGACGAGAATCAACAAGAACACCAAGATCTTTGACTACCGGAACAATCACTAATTCCGTCCCATTAACCAAATAATTACTTTGGTCGTGCTTTCCTAGATGCAGAAAGTAACACTTGGCATTCAATGAAAGACCGTTGTTAATAGCGCAAGTATTCAAGTTGTCAATTGACAATTGCAGTGAAGTGTGCACTCACGGAAATTAAACTCATCATAAGAGGCGTAGACTTTAATATTTATTTATTTATTTATTTATTTATTTATTCTATACGCTCTTGGCGCTCCATACCATAGAATAAAAAGCAGTTATTCATACCCTAACCGCAACGATAATGTATCATGTGGTTTAGGTCCAATCCTGATAAAAGTGTGATGAAAGCTTGTATTTGACTGCTCTATGATTACAGTTATCGGAATTGAATGATGTGATTCATGGAGATGTACCCATGCCCCCTTTTGCCAGCAAAATATTTTGATTTCAAAAACAAACAAGGTTTGATGGTGGTATATTTGACCTCACCAAACCAGTAAACCAGTGTGAACCAGTGACTCCAAGTGAATTGCAATAAAGGTTGTAATGATGGATAACTCATACGTGAGCGTGGAGATCAAGTCAGGTTATTGTAGTCTATGGAGATGGCAATCATGCCAACTCATTTGCCGGCAGAAGATGCTCTTGCAATAATAAAGCAAAGCGGGGCTCGGTTAGGCAGTAATACCAATCAACCTTGCCCAAATGATTCCGGGGAAAGTCCAATGACTCCGAAAGGATATCAAATAGTCTCACTTTTTGTAATTCAACCTAAAAGCAAGTCAACAAGCTATAATGATTGGGAAGAGAAGTGAATTGTTTAGACCTGAACTCGTGATAGCAAGATTTGGGTTAGTAAGACATTTAAAAGGAAATGATATTGAAAAAAAACTCAAATCAATGGTTGTATTTGGTATGCATTTTGTGGTCGGATCATGTAATCGCACACGGCCAGCTATAGCAATACAGGTGATGAATTGGTGCTATCTGCAAATATCTCATTTAGTCTTAGTGTCTTCAGTTTAATTTTGAAAGAAATGCTGTTATTACATGCAAAAACTTCATTGGGTAGTTTTTGTATCAGGTTCATTACACGTTCAAAAAAATCGTAGTCCGATAATGTTGATTTCTTTCGCCTACCGGTTCGTTGATGGTAAATACCAAAACAGCTAACCCTTCCATGAGTGGGTCTAAATACCCAGTACTTGGAACCTTAATATGGTCTCCCCTCTGAAAATCCTAAAAGGAAGATATCGTCAACATAAATTTTACAGCCTGACTTCAGAGTTTAAATGGGAGTTCAATGGTAAAAATCAGAAGTAATAAGGGGGAGAGAAATCCGCCCTGGGCCACGCCGCTGGTACATGGAAGTCGACTAGAGTAGGACTGACCAACTCTAACTGTCATAAATCGATTTTCAAGATAAAATCTGAACCAGTTGAGAAGATTTCCAGTGATTCCAAAATTCTGAAGGTTGTGCAGAAGCACTTTATGAGGGATCTTATCGAAAGCTTTGGGAAGATCAAAATAAACGATGTCAACTGACTTTCCAGCATTTAGCTTTCTTATCAAGAACACTTCTCACCAAATTAGTAGCAGTCTTCTACCTGGGACAAAACCGTGAAGTTCCTGTAGAATATGATTTTTTTCTTTATCCATCGAAACAGCTTTTCCCTGATAATTTTTTTCAATCACTTTGATAGGTGCCATTAACAAACTTATCGGTCGAAAATCATTGATTTTATTAGCAGTCGTTGTTTTAGGGATAGGGGTGATTACGGGTTCTTTCCACAAACTAGGAACTTCACAAAAATTCATAGAAAGGTTAAAAACACTAGTTAGGGGCTGAGAGAGGGAACCAGCGCATTTCTTGAAGACAAGTGGCGGAATACCATCATAAAGTTCAGTGCATGAAGATTTTAGAGGCTTTAGGATGGACTCCACATCCTCTTTATGGAAATAGACCATGCTGAAATTTTTGAGGAGTAGGAGCATCCGCCAAAAAACATCTGTTTTCTTGATTAGGCGGCGAGAATACACTAGCAAAGTAATCAGCTAAAGCCTCCGCTTTTTCGCTATCGTTTGCGCAGTTTACATTCATCAAGAAGAACGGATGGACTAGATCTTATTTGGAGTTTGTTTGGAACATATCTAAACTGTCACGATTGTAGAATTGCCTCCGAGCAATCCAAAGGGCTTACTAGTTTGCAGTTGTATCTACGATCGCAATTGCACCACGCCACTTGCATTATTTGCCTTCAGGGCAGAGGCGGGGATTGCATGGCTACCGCGGTCATCTTTCTGATCTCTTGGAAGGAGTGCGGCGAGGAATACATAGGCGAAACGGCGCGCCCGCTACGTGTTCGCATCAAAGAGCACATATACTGCAAAGATAAGTCGCGCACATCCACCCCTCTTGGCACTCACCGAGTACAGAAACATGTGGGGACAAATTTCGGAGATTCGGTAAAAATCTTGGCGCACGAATTCCAGACATCAGCGCGCAAGTGTTTGGAAGTTTTTTGGATTCAAGTGAAAAATTTAGAAATGAATCGCAACGAGGAATGCCTGGCGATCACGCGAGTTCACGCGTGATCGCCAGGCATTCCCCCTCGCGATTCATTTCTGGATTTTTCACGTAAATCCAAGAAGCTTCTAAATAGTGGTCCCTCAAGCGGTAATTAGTCATCTCGCTCTCGCGTCAAAAGGCTCTTCGGCGTAACCCAAAAGATGAGTGTTTGGCTAAATGCTACCAGCTGAGCTAGTGTTCAGATCTAAGTCTTGGCACTTTGCTCTTTCTGTTGCAGAGACGTTGTCGAATTACATCCAGATCGTATTACCTCCAGGCTCTGAAGAAGGCGATCTGCCAAAACATTAGCCTAATAAAGTATTTAACAATCTCGGGTACGGCTCACAAGAAAACACAGAAGTTAATACGACCATGCCGAGGTTTATCGAAAGTCGCACATTCCATATCTAAACACTCTTTTGGATGAAACGTTAGATATCAAACGGCGCTCATGATTTGCCAGAAACTTCTTCAGATGAAAATTCAGATCGCTACAAACCTTCTTGTAGAGTTTATTTGTTAGTGGTTCATGAAGGCTGCTAAAGAGATTATGTTTCTGCTCAATCAGCGGATCTATACTGGGTATCGGACGAATGATGGGCCCGTGGTTGTCCTCATGACAACAAATTGAGCAAGGCCCTCAGAGATCTTTTCGCAGAACTTCTGATAAATCTATAGTAGTAGTATAGTACTTCAAAAGATCAGAAGGAAAATCTTCTAAGCAGATTCGGAACTTGAAGATTTAAGGTAATGTAAAAGAAAAACGAGAAAAAAACGGAATCGATGAGCGCTCATAAAATCGGCCGCACTGGACGGGCACAGGGTACAGAAAGTTTGCCAACAAAAGTAATTTGAAAAGAAGTTAAAGAAGGGAAGATTTGACAAATCTGTTCACTCAAGTATCTTTACAACCTAAATACCCAATGTCGGAAATTTTTGGCTATCAAGATGTAAGAAAGCTAAGGTGCCAAAATTAAGCCAAGCGGAGACACACCAATGTCAGCCATTCGCTTTTGAATCAATTTGGTCAAGCACAGCATTGTGGGGAAGTTTATAATTTCAAAGTTCTTGAATTCGAGAGGACTGTTGAATGCACTCCTTTTGTTTAATCGAATTTCCTCTGTTTAGCTCACAGAAGGAAGACAGGAACAATGGCTCGATTTGTCTATTTTATCAAGTCTCTCCTAATTTTTTGCAAATGAAGCTCTGCTAAGAAAAGTCTTACTGTAACTCATATGATACACGCAAATTATCACAGTCTTCGTAGTCCAAAGAAAAAAGAATATTTCAAAAAAATTTATTCACATAAATTATGCAAATGCAAGTCTATTCAATGCAAAGTCCTATACTGGGATTGCATGTGTCTGGATCCCAGCATTCACTGCATGGTGCCCCTTGCCAGTAGAGAGGAGTATTGAGGGTAATACTGTAAAGCTTTGCATTGCGTGTATATATGTAGAAGAAGAAAAACCCCATCTTTACCCCCATCTGTAACGGCATATAATAGTGTAGTGATCGCCACATTTCTTCACACCGCAACCTATACCCCATGTTTCATGCCAGGCCATCTGGTAAGCACATATTAGAGAGATGGTATCACTAGAACTTTCCATACCCTTATAAAAGACATGAGCGGGGAGTTTGTGTGCCTATCCATGACGTGGAACTGTCTGTCATAAGGAGTTGGATCCGTTTGTACTGCACTCCACCATTTACGTATAGCCTGAAGTGAGGATGCATCAAAAAAATTTCGCTAGGAAGTCTGACTGCACAAACGGGAAAGAGAAGAGGTGAACCAGAAAGGCTAACCTTTTTTATAGCATTTTTGGCGTTACTGGCGTTTGTCTTCTGTATCATAGCAAAGTTTTCTTCCTCCAAAGGCCCAACAACCTCGCGGGGAATCTCACTTGTTGGACAATTACTTACTTCATTGTAGGCGATATCCTCAAGTTCGCACAAGTAATGCTGAATTAATTTCCATCGTACTTTCTTCCATTCTTTTGAATCAACTTTTGATAACCATTTGCATCATTGCTCCAGCTTGCGGCAGAATTGAACCATCATGCTTTTTTACTTTGCCAAGTGCAAGATCTGACCTAAAGTGCATAAGAATCATTTGCTTCCATTGTGACACTCTTAACTTACCTATAGCTGTTATGTAGTTCAAGCGTAATGTTGCGAATAATGTCAGTCATTCCTTTTTTGGGTGTACAAACTTCTGTCTCTAGATTGTCAAATCGATTAGCTAAGCAGCTTGAAGCGGATAAGCAAAAACTTACGAGAAGTTTGTGCTGCATTTGCTATTATGGTGAACACCTAAAAATGTCGATTAGAGACGGTGTCTAACCAAGTCACCTTTAGCTAACTTGACTTCTCAAATTGCCATCAAAACGACAAATAATGCTTCTAGAAAAATCTCAAATCAATCGGATTACGCTTTAGTTCAACTGCAGTGAATGAGATTTCAATCTAAATTGTGGCTCAGAGGCAGCCCATGTAATTCGTTCTTAACACCTTTATTTCTGAAATTTTGCTTAGAAACAGTAATCTTTCCGAACAGAAAAGTCAGTGACACACCCATTCGCTGATGATTGATAGGATAGAGTTTGGGCGAAAGTTTGAAATTGAACATACAACCACGTATATCTGAGCAGTTGCTTGAGCATAGGTTTTAGTCACACTCAATCGCCCACAAAGCTTAGGAACTCAGGATTGATTGAACACTGCCTCTGTTTCCTTCTCGGATTTATACAATACCTAAGGCAGCAACTAGTTTTTGTTACGTTCAACGTTGCACTTGTCATTATTCTTGCCTCTGCATGTTCCTTAAGAAGACATTATAGTACTAGCCTATTGACTGCCTCAGATTATTTTACTTTCCTATATTTGACATCCCATCGTCTCAAGTCCCAGCGGGATATATGCAGCAATATTGCATACTGGGGTTTTGAGAGGAATGGAAGCTAACTATAACTTACTTACCAGAAGAGCAACACAGCCGACGCTTGCCATTGTGTAACTTCTGGCAATGCTTTACTGCTCGCTTCGTTACTCTTTTATATGGAACAACACTGGATAATTCAGATTTCGAAATTCGCTGTTCTGTGCTATACTTTTCTTCTAACTAATTTTGGTTCATTTGAATTGAACACCTGCGCTTTTGTTATTGCTTTGCATGGCTTGAGCATCGTCAACAATCATAAGCCAAACATTAAAGAACAAACAAAGTTCTTTTCGCTTATTTTGACAGCTTCCTATCTTCAAGCTTCCTGGTTTTTCTGTACTAACTTTTTTCCATGGATTCTCTGTCTCAGATAATGGAAGCTAACTATAACTATAGGTGTCATAAGTGTCAAGCATCTTATGACCTAATATTCAGTTTCCCACACCACTGATTTGAATAAATTTCTAGCAAGGAATAGTTCTCTACCACAGTGCTATTTTGCGAGATAAATGATCAGTGCTGAAAACAAACAAACAGTTCGAAGCTTAACAATCATCGTGCTCAATGTGTTCAGATTAGACCTAGGTGACGCTACTCCTTTGCTGGAATATACGAAATCCGCGATCGATCTGCCGTTGTTCCTTTTTCGTGCTCCTGCGATTCAGTACGAGCGCGGAGAGGTGTGGCTACAGTCCTCATCAATCTAATTCCGCTGGTTCGCCTTCGCCTTGACAATTTATCCCAACAGTTAGACGCAGTTACAATTCAACTTGAACGTGGTATCTGAGTAACCGAATACGAAATTCCGAGCGATTTTGTACTTTACAGTGATGCCAAACCAAGGAGAACTATTTTCTCAAATATGAAGCTGTGCTTTTTAAGACCGTTGATTGTTATTAATAATACTGATATCAATTCCACAAATTACGTTCCGGTTACACTCGCCTTCGTTAAGTCGAAAAAAGCACACCGTTTGCGCTTACTTTAACTTCTCCTTTCGGAAGCTACCGATCCTCCATGGCACTGCCAGTCCAAGCGCCATTCTGGCATGGCAAGGTGTAAAATTACGCTTGTCGATTTGCGTGGTGGATTAAGCTCTGCATTCAAATCACTACAGAAGGAGATAGCCCATTTGTCATCACTACCCCATTCACTTATCGTTTGAGGGATTTGTATTGCGCAAACTCTAACGGGAGAAGAACTCTTGGTAAAGTGGCCATTCAATAACACAACACCTAACCTTTGATTCAACTGGCTTGACGGCTTCAAGGCGGGGCTATGTGACCTGGTCAAGGCCGCCTGCGCCTGCAACGCAGTCCGCATACCTCCTACGCGCGTGCTCTCTGATCACTGCCTAGCCTTGATGGGCCACTAACCCGCCTTCCACGCGCCAAGCCAGTTGAATCAAAGGGTACACCATGGCACACACTAAACGTGTTTAACACATTGACGACCGAAGCCTTTCTCGGACCAGCCAACATTTTTCAAATAAAATTACGCACAATTCCATCCACAGTAGACCTTCAGTAGCGCTGGAATACTGGCAGAAACAGTAGAGGTTGTATCTAAATCCAGCATGAAAGAAAACTCCCGGAGTTGGTTTGACACATTTTAGTACCCATTTCAATGAGAGTCATGGTGTGACAAGCCTTGACACACTATGTGTGTCAAGCGGTCGTCAATGTGTAAAAATCTATGCCAGGAGCATTTTTTTGCAAATGTTCCATAATTCTTGATAATCAGTGTCATATACAAGGTCATCTTTGATATTCAACGTAATTTAGACAAGATATTTGACCGCTCTAATCGCCTTCGAATTTGGCGCATATCGATAACTGATCCTCAGAGCATTGCAAATTACCCTTCATGAAAGCATCGTAACCATCTCGTTCAAAGTCGTTAACTCTGTCTAATGGCAGTTTCGGCACCCACTGACACTAATGGAAAGTTCAAAGTACTGATCAAGACAAAGCCAATATCTTATTTGGATTGCAAAGCAGCACTCGTCTAAATAAGCAAAACAGAAGTAGGAGAACTGTGTGCAGGAGTATGCGATGGCTCGTTCGTGCTGTCTTGTTGTACAGGCGCTTATAACAACTTCAGTGGCAAGCAGTGCCAACGTTCATAGACAATAAAATGCAGTTCTATCCTAAATTGTTGTGTGGCTGCATGAGATGCATCCTAACTGCCATACCTTCTCGCACATCTTCTCCGAAAAATTTTTTTGTCGCGTTACCCCCCCCCCCCCTCCTCCGGCGAAAATCCTTCGACCGCCACTGCTGAGCGCATAGTTTTTGCATAGTATTTCTGCCCTAGTGCTTGGCTTGAAGAACAACCAAAGTGGTATGAGCATTTCCATTCTCCATTCACGCGGAAGTTGATAGATTCATAGTCAGCAGTTCCGGCTTCCTGGAACAAATGGATTAGGTCTATGTAGAAATAAAGCAAAGAAAAAATGGACGAGCACAAGAGCACACGTTTCGTCGTATACGCAAAGCACAAAAGCGCTCATCCCTCGACCCCGCTTCGAGTTCGAAGTTCTGCTCAGCAAAAAGGGAGGCGGTGTAGAGGAATAAGGGCAAAATGAGAGGAATGTGGAAGAAAAACCGCTGAAAACGATTAAAATTTTCCAATTCCTGCCTTTTAGAACGCGTGCTGGACGGCTGCAGCGCATGCAGCATAGTTCCGGAACAGTTCCAGCACAGTGTGGGAACTACGCGGGAACAGTTCCGAAACATGGGAATCAGTATGAACCTAGCCTTGACTGCCGCGATGTACCGCGCTGTCCGTAAGTTGAAGGTAGGACCTAAGTTGAACTAAAGATAGCGCAAAAGCGGCGGGAAAGACAAAGATGAAATTACCCTACTTTTCTCACAACTGTGATTTTATGTTGAAATATTGTGTCGGTGTTTTATCTCCCCCTTTGCTAAGCAAAATTTTTGATAGCGGTCATCATCAATTTTTCGTTAGTGGTCGATCAGAGATACTCCTCCGACGTAGCAAAAATGTAGCTACAAGCTGGTCTCGATGACCATATTGCTTGAAACGCAATGTTTTATTCCACCAAACCTGCACAAATGCCTTTAGTCTTAATTTTTCAGGAACGCATATGGTCATTTTCTGTATAAGTCCGTATGGAAAATCGATAACACTATAGTATAGCCTTCAATGGATGTGCCTATCAGGCTGATGTTTCAGCGTCTTCGCCTTCCTCAGATCTATCAGGCTGATGTTTCAGCGTCTTCGCCTTCCTCAGATCTTGCAAAAACAAAGGTGTTTGTAATCTATCCTCTCAAATGCTCTAATTTCAAAACTTCGGTGAAACTCAACAGCTGATAGAAGTAGTTGTTCCACACATTTTGTGGGTTTTGACCTACTGAGTGAGGTCGGGTCGATGCTGGGAGTAAAAATATATCAATTTCAACAGCGGTGCTTCATTGTGTCCACATACCTTTTGATTGAACAGGTTTGGCGGCTGAAAGGCGGGGCTTCATGACTTGACTGAGGGTAGATGATCAGAGAGCATGCGTGCGACACAGACGCAGATTGCGTTGCGAGCGCGAGCTGCTTTGAATAGATCACAAAACTCCGTCTTCTAGCCGCCAAGCCAGTCGAATCAAAACTTACTCTTGACTGCAAGGCTATAAGTTGGCTCTGATTGGCTTCGCATCTTTTTGCGGTTTCATTAGTTGTTGAGTTCCACCGATGTGGTAGGGATAGAGCATTTGAGGCAATACTTACAATACTTTACAATATCTTCTTACAGGCTCTGAGGAAGGCGGAAACGCCAAAACGTCATCCTGATAAGTTTCAAAGAACCCTGGCCTTTACTACAACATCGTCTAGAGATTGCACAAGTCATGCCAAGACCCATGGACGGTGACTTATTTGATGGCACTATCGAACTGCGACAAAGCGCCGTATTTTCTAAGCTCGCCCAAAGTAGGTGCGATGTTAAGGGGTTAGTAAGGGTGTTCTTTGAGAGCTTGTATCACCCCACTGATCAACAATGATTTTTACTTCAAGCTAAAATTTTCTAATCTCAAAATACTTTTCAAAAAATGTTAAGCGAAAAAGATTATGATTCATAAATTTCGGTGCAAGACCCTGGTTCCAACTAAGAATAATCTCTAACCTTTGTCAGGTAGTCGTGAATTTTCAATGTAGTGTGCGGATTGACATCAAAGACGGAGAATGCCCAGTAAGTCCATTCTTACATTCGATAGTACAAGAATGACCTTCATTAGTCAAGATTCCAACTTGCGAGGATCCAGTCAGACTTGAACGGAGACTTCGGCCACGTTCTGCTGGCTACACCCAGGAAGTTAGATTGCCTTTAGAAAAAAACGATTCCACTCATTCCAACTTTCAGTTCCCGCTTTTCACGAATGGGTCAGTGGAGGTGGACGTGAGAGCCCAACAAGTTGATGTGCTTGACCCTCAGCTTGGTAAAGACTTGCTATATTTCAGCCCTCTAACACTCCCTTTCATCCAGACTTTGGCTTGGACGCTGACGAACAGCACATCAATGCAGTGCTAAGACGGCTTTGTAAACAAGATTGCATACAAAAACAACATCTTATCATCCCGGCAGCAACAGCCCTCTCATTAATCATTGCGCTGATTTGTGTTATCTTTGTGCTATTGCAAAGACCGCACACCATATATAAGTAATAATGCTTCTACAGCAAACTCCAATGGATCTCATCGACTCCCCTGGAGTAAAGAGTAATATCTTATAGAAGACAGTGATGGAGTGTTACCCGCCCTCGTTCTTGTAAACGCATCAAAAAGTTTTGCGAATAACTCACTATCCTATTTTACTGTTTAGAATATCTCAGATTTTTCATGTTCGTTTTTCGTGATATTGATTCTTCGTTGTAAAGAGATATGATGTTACAATTCAAACACTCCCTAATCAGGACCAATAAGCACGCCTTGCTCAATCCAAAGGTTATCATGCTGGAGTAATGCGTATCTAGCATTTCCGACAGTGCATCAACGTGAACGGTAGTGTATAAGGATGTCACGTCAAGCGATTCTATAACACTGTTTGGTTCACATTTATCTGCCGCAAGCGC